GGAAAGAAAAAGCAGCAGTTCCCTGTTGAAGATCAGGCACAGTTATGAGCATGACAAGATGAATCAGCCCATTTGCAATTCTACTGTGTTTGAACGAGAAATGTCCACCCTTTGGGAATGGCATAAAGACACTACAGCTGGTCTCTGGCAGACACACACAAAGGAGGTTGAACAGCTTGGAGCTATATCATACACTAAAAAGGTTACACATGGAAAGTTGAGACTAGTTATAATATTTTTTGTAAGAGTTTTACAGCATTTTCAACACAATTCGTTTATAAAAAGCGCCAAGGATTAAAAGTGTTACAAGAGAGTAACTAACACAATATATAACAATGTCAGAGGTGAACAAGAATAAAAAGTTATAATACATACAGTCTAGTGTGGGTCTTGCTTGATTCTTGTTTCCCAACCAGCCCTTGCACTCCACAGAAAAAATGCAGGGTGTGAATTATAGCCGTGCCCTAATCTGTCCTCTTCCCTGAACCCTATCTGAGTTTCCCCATCCATTCACTGTCCCCTTAAAGTCAACCATTACTATAAGCCTAAAACTAAATACAACCCAAACCATCTCCTTAAAGTGAAGTCAACCACCACCATCCCCCTAAAGTCAACCTTTACCATCAGTTTGAAGCCAACTACCATCCCGTAAGGTCACCCACCATCATTCCCCTCTAAAGTCACCCACCACCATTCCCCTCTAAAGTCACCCACCACCATTCCCCTAAAGTCACCCACCACCATTCCCCTCTAAGGTCACCCACCACCATTCCCCTAAAGTCACCCACCACCATTCCCCTCTAAAGTCACCCACCACCATTCCCCTAAAGTCACCCACCACCATTCCCCTACCATCACCTTCCTCTTCCTGAAGTCAACGATCACTGTCCCCAAAAAATCAACCATCACTACTGTCCACTTAAAGTCAACCATTATCATCAGCCTTAAGTCAATCTTTACTGTTCCCATGGAGCAAACAACACCATCCCCCTAAATTCAACGGCAACCATCTCCCTAAAGACAACCATCACCATCATACCCAACAGCACCTGGACATAAATCTTAGCCCGAGCCTTCCCCGACTCTCCCCATAAAATAAATACCGTCATTCCCCTAACCTAAAGACAACTATCACCACCCTCACAAGCACCTGGACACATAAATCTTAGCCCGAGCCTTACCCTCCCCATACAACAACTAAATACAACTATCACCATCCTCCCTAGCACCTGAACATAAATCTTAGCCCGAGCCTTGTTCTCCCAATACAAAAAACACTGCCGTTTCCCTAACCTAAAGACAACCATCACCATCTTCCTTAGCACCCGGACATATTATATCTTAACCTGAGCCTTTCTCAATTCTCCCCATACAAGAAAAACCGCCATTCCCTTAACCTAAAGACAACTATCACTATCCTCCCTAGCACCTAGACACACAAATCTCAGCCTGAGCCTTACTCTCCTTATACTATATGTACAACAAATACCGCCATTCCCATTGCCTTAAGACAACCATCACAATCTTCCCTAGCACCGGACACACAAATCTTAGCCCAAGCCCTACTCTCCCCATACAACAAATACATGTACCGCCTTTCCCCTACTAAAGACAATCATCACCATCCTCCCTAGCACCTGGACATAAATCTCACTCAGTCTGACCCCGCCTCTCCCCACACAACAAATACCGCCATTCCCCTTACCTAAAGACAACCATCACCATTTTCCTTAGTAGCACCTGGACACACAAATCTCAGCACGACCCCTACTCTCCCCATACAACAAATACCCCCCTTCCCCTACTAAAGACAACTATCACCATCCTCGTTAGCACCTGGACACAAATCGTAGCCCGAGCCCTACTCTCCCCATACAACAAATACCCCCCTTCCCCTACTAAAGACAACTTCTATCACCATCCTCGTTAGCACCTGGACATAAATCTTAGCCCGAACCTTTCTCAACTCTCCCCATACAAGAAAAACCGCCATTCCCTTAACCTAAAGACAAACATCACCCTCCTCCCTCACAGCACCTGGACACAGAAATCTCAGCACGACCCCCTACTCTCCCAACTGACCACTGCCGCCGGTCCCATGGTTGTGCCGCGTGTGCATCGCCAGGTGCTCGTTCTTGGCAAAGACGACCCCGCACAGCTCACACTTCCAGGGCCGGTCCCCCGTGTGCGTGCGCAGGTGGCGCGCCAGTTTGCTGTTGTCTGCGAAGCCCGTGCTGCACACCTGACACTTGTAGCGTTTCTCCCCGAGGTGACGCAGCTTGTGCTTCCACAGGTAGCTGTTTTTGCCGAAGCTCTTGCCGCAGATCTCACAGGAAAACAGCCGCGACGACGATGACAACGACGAAGATGACCTTGACATTGCTGTTTTTGAAAGCGCCAAACTGTCACAGGGTAACGAGCTACCGCTACTGCCCGGCAGCTTTTCCACGGCAGACTTCGGGGAGGATGAGGTCAAGGTGGAGGAGGAGGAGTTGGAGTTATTGCCCCCTTTTAAGGCCAACATTTCGGCTCGGTGTGTTTTACACTGGTGTGTTTTCAGATTGCTGAGTCGCGCAAACTTGGCACGACACAAATGACACTTGTGTGGCTTCTCCCCCGAATGTGTCTTGAAATGTTTCTTGAGCGTGCCGGCCTGCGTGAACCCGGCGCCACACACTTGACACTTGTGCGGCCGGGCCCCCGTGTGGATCAGTTGGTGACGCTGAAGGTCGCTGGGCTGGGTGAAGGCCATGGAGCAGTGCTGGCACTTCCAGTCGCGAATTTTTTTCTTCTTGGACTGCAACTCGGCGTGCATTTTCCTCCACTTCGCCTTGGTCCTGTCGCTCTTGAAGGTGATCTCCCGCGGTGGGAGAGGAATCAGTGTCAGACTCGCTGGTGTGTCGTTCGGCTGTGACGCATCACCCAGCGTTGAACTTTTGTTCTCAGAGCGCAGCCCATCAGCGTTGTTGATCCCCTTAGAGCCGAGGACAGGGTAGAGAAGTTGATCGACGTGTTCAGTCATGTGATCTTCGAGAGACTCGAGGATGGACGTGGAAAGGAGGCAGACGGGGCAGACTACAGAGCACGCCCCGAGTTCCCATGGCAACCGTGAGGGATTTATAGAGGTGGGTGGCTCGTAGCTCCTCTCTGACCCGGCGAAGACGTCGTTAGAAACGGCGCTGGACGACTTTAACTTTAGTCTTTTCTGCAATGAGTATTGAGTTATTGGTGGCGAAGGACTGGCGGCCTTTTCTGAAAAGTCGAGAGCGGTCACATTCTCAGCTGCTGTCAATGGACCACCCAGATGTGGAAGGTCACCTGAGAGACTCGAAGACACCGACTGCAATAACGCCTGCAGATCCTCGAACTGCTTTGCATCTTGCGAAGAACCAATGGACTCCAACGTTAAGTCCGTTCGTCCGAGGCCAAACTCAGAGGGAACAAATAAATTGCTGGAATCTATCTTGTCAAGACCGGGGTGTTGCACCTCTTCCTCCTCCTCCCTTGCGTTGAGGGAAGTCATCAGCGGTTGCCCCATAGCACACATTTCGTCGTCGTTGTCATTATCCTCACCACCGTCGTCTAGCTCCCCGAGACCCGTGACCAAACAGAGCTGGTTGACCAGTGTCGAGCCCGGCCCTCGCACCAATCGAGTGATCAGTAGATCCTCACCGCCCTTACCCCTCACCCTGCACCTCAAGCTCCCAGTATGACCGTCTTTACCCTCAGAATTGTTCTTCTTGCATTTTCTCCGTACCCTACGAGTCCTGATCCTAGGGCACGTATTATTGTCAACATCATTACAACTGACGGCTGGCGGCTGGGACTCTCTTTTCAATGAATTCTCTAGAATCTTCTTCTCTGGATTGTTCTTCTCTGTAGGCCTAAGGATTTTCTCTAGAATCTTCTCTGCTAGAGCATTTTTTACCAAAACTTTCTCCCTTGATTTTGACTCAATCCTCTCTCCCCTCAAAGCTCTGAGCAATAGACTACCTTCTGGGCCAGAACTCAATGAGGCTGAGTTCGTAACCTTTTCATCCCGAGGAACCATCTGGGACGTTCTGTCTCCACATTTCTCAGGGGTACAGCTCAAGGGAACACTAGTTTCTATGTCGTCTTTTTCACATTGGGAAGCAGACAGCTCACTTTGTTTGTCAGAATGGGTGTTGTTGGCACTGAAGTCAACGATGTCACAGCTATGGTCTGACAGGCCGCAACATGCTTGACCATTCGAACCAGTTCTGTAAACGCAAACTCTCTCATTTGGATCACTGACTGAAGTCGTCTGACTCTTCTCAGAGTTGTCAACGACACTCGTTGCCACAGGTGATGGGTTTTCGTCTACGCACAATTCACGATCATGTCCCGAGTCACAACTCCTTCTCAAGACATTGACACAAGTCTCCTCACGAGGTCTCTCTATCACATTCACACTGACATACCCAGCATCATCTCTCTCCAACACCCTTGTTATGTTCCCACATCCTTCAAGTGGAGCGTTTCCTGCACAGGGTACCTCAGCCCCACCTCCCAGCTCCTCTCTGTAGGTACCGCTGCTAGTCCCATCCAACACTTTCTCAACAAACGGGCAGCTCTGAACCTCCACAGAAGTGAAAACAGTCGAGCTGTACAAACGTTTCCCTGCTGACATCATCTGTGCACTGATGACAAAGTTTTTGCTACCACTGTACGTGACACTGGACTGATCATGATGCCATTTCCCTATCCCATCATTCTCCACACGGGGGCCATCATCTTCCAAAAGAAGATCACAGTCATTCAAAACAAATTCTTTAGAATGTACACTTTCACATAAAAACATTCGGGTCTCATCTCCAAAACTTTTTCTGGGGCCGCGGCAAAGATATTCCAGTTGAAAAGTTGAAGAAACAAAGTCATTTTGTGATACCACAGCCTTCACACTCATTCTTCTCTCCAGAAACCTTCACCATTTGTTTTTCTCTTCACCGCTGTGTAAAAATATAAATTTCTTTGTGTTCCCCTACACTAGTTCACAGCCGTTTGTTTTTACTGTACGAGCACTACACAGGAGACAATCATGTAGGAGATGTAATCACAACTTTTGCAGTCGCTTGTTCCTAAATAAGGGTTAAGATATTTTGACTTTATTCAAGCTCTCTTGACAGAAAATTCTTCCATTTCTGTAGATCTACAAATGTAGATGGAAACGTCATGTCAGCAGTGAATGGGTTACGCTCAGAAGAAAAAAATCCTGGACTCCTTCAAGAGGTCATACAACTAGGTCACACAACTTGCACATGATCATCTCTATGACAGAGAACAAAGTTGTATCACTCAACAGCTCATTGATATAAGAGCTTAGCTTTAGCATACCATACTGGAATCAACCACAGTCAACAGAGGCATGAAAGTACATTGTAATCTTTGTAGTCGTGAGGAGTCCTGAGAGAAATGTCTCCGATTTGCGTGACATGGGCTTTTGTTGTCGGGACAAAATTGTCTCAAAACGACTGTCACAACACGACTCGCTCAACTAAAGGAGACTTCGGTCCTCTCATTATGAGCAGCCTCTGGTAACATCTTCCTCACACCTTCTCTGACCACACTTGTCAATGTTCTCTATCACTTCATCATCATCTGTGGAGAAAGAAGAAAAATTTGTCAAATAAAAAAGGGTCAGGCCTCAAACGATTCATTTGAAAAAATTAATAAATAAATAAAAACCCTTTAAAAGTTCAAATAGATTCTGGACATTTAAATATGGGTGAGGTTTTTGGATTTTTTTCTGCTTTAAATCAAATGACATGATCATACATTATAGAAAATTTAATAACCAAGAGAGACTTACAGAGTCTGATACAGTGGACACAGGCCGGTAATAACAGGGATCTGGTAATTACATGGATTTTAAAAATCCCTGCTTTTTCCTCCTCAGTGGAGCTCAATCAGTTATAGCAGGGACAAAGGCTCGTTAACAATGTGTAAAGTCACTCGCATTCTAGTGCCATATAATTGTCCATGACAACACGCTACCATTTGAAAAATTACATCTTCAAGCGTCAAATTTTCAAGAAAAGAGGAAGTATCATCTTTTTATATTTTTGTCTTGACCAGTTCATGCCGGCTTTAAACACGTCGGCATAAAACACGTTTCGGACTCAAGAACACTAAATGGCTCTTACTCTTAACAAATTTTTGCTGTATAAATTACACACCTTTAAACACGGTAACTTCGGCTTCGGGCACGCTTCATTTACAAGACAGTCAATACTTTCATGATGATCCATCGAAGTTCGAACAGTCTACACCGCAGCAGTGAGTGTGTATAGAGAAACACAAAGAACGCAAATCATGGAGACACCCACACGCGCGCGGAGAGGAAGGCAGAGAGATGCACACAGCTGCACGCATGGACATAGGACAGCCTAGGGCAAAGCTACACAGACAAAAGAAAATACAAAGAGAGTCGGGGAGGTGAGAAAGTGAAGCTAGCTGTGATTTTACCTTTGCTCCTCACTATCCGATAATCCTCATTATGTATCACGCGCGAGGTGGGATGAAGGCAGTGGCATGAATGTGGCACAGCGAGCAGTGGTACGCACAGGCAGTGTGAAGGCCTAGTGTGCTGTATCGTGACTGGCTGTCTAAATTAAGTTTTCATTTCCCATTCGACTACAAAACAAACAAATAAACAAATAAAAACTACCATGGCAGGTAAAAATGACAGAGCACACTTTTGCGCAACCACAACTTGCGAACAAAGGGAAATAACTCAGGAAATTTTCTACATAAAAATCTCTGGATTATGTCTACTTCGCACTCAAAGCACGCCTCGGCATTAAGCACGCTTTTATGCCTTCTCCCGATGACCTAGCTTAAAGCCAGCATGGACTGTATCAATTAGGAGGACTGGACAGACAAGTGAATTTAATAAGGGGAGAGGAAAACAACACACATTGTATGTGTTGTGCTGAAGGATGAGGGAAAACGGGAACAACACGGAGAATGTCATTCTGCTTGATAGGAGTTAAGTATTCAATATGCCTGGCTTTTAATTAAAGTCAAAAGTATTGTTGCGCCTTTGAATAGATTAAAACGCAATTACTCTGAGTCAGAGTGGACGATGGGAGTGTCCAGTGAAACTTGTCAGTCCTCAAGAGGACGGTTCCAGTGTCCGATCAGACTTTTATTTTTGGTAAGTGTTTTACGGCGCTCCCAATTGCATAAGGTCATCTGAGCGCATGGGACATACCTGATGTTTTCAGTTGGTAGGAAATTGAGAATTGTGAATTTTGCCCAGGAGGCGGGCGAAGCCTACTCTTGTCGATTTTAAACCACCAAGGGATCTTTAACGAGCGCAACTTGCACACGGGCCCTCCAAGATTCTTTTCCCTTGTTCGAGAAGGCTGGGAGTAGATCTTTCCTACCGGAAGATCACGGGTGTGGCAGAAAGACAGTAGTAAGAAGGAGCCAAGGAGTAGCAAGTAGAAAGGCTGCAGAAAGAGTCAGGAGCCCAGAGGAGGGGGCAAAGGAGGTGAGGGGGTGGGGGCAGAAAGACGAGACGAAAGCAGACGACAGATCATTGCTAGAGAGCAGGAAAGGAGGTGAAAGAATGAGGGGCAGAGAAGAAAATTTTTCGGTCGCTACCCGGATTCGAACCCGGGACCTTTGAATGAGAGACCAACACCTTTTAACCTCTAGGCCACGAGAGCCCCCTCCGAACAGATTGGAGAGTGCATGAAGTGTTACTGCGAGAGCGATCTCTTAGATTCTGAATCCGAGTAGCGTTTATTTTGACCCAGAAGTGTTCAATAAATAAATAAATAAATTGCGTCCTCTTTCACTTTGACACAGTTTTTGTCATTTCATAATACTGAGCATTTATCACGCATTTTATATACAGTCTATGTGCCGTTACGAATTTCACGAGATCTGAACAAAAATAATACTGGGTTAAACGGTTTTAAAAGAGTTAAATTGTGATAGTAGACATGCAACAGGCTGTGGCTGTAAAGTTAACCGTAAAATAGCTGAGTAGCTAAAACCTTATTTTAAGCAGGTTTAAATGTGCATATAAAATGTCTGTGTGAACAGGTGTCTCTGTGTGTGTGGATATGTGTTTTTGTGAGTGAGCGTAGTGTGTGCGTGTATTGTGTGTCATGTGTGTGTTTGTGGGTGTCGTGTGTGTGTGTGAGTTTCTTGTTCTCTCTCACACTGCAATTGTGACTCCATGGCTATTCGGCAAATGATTCGAGACAGAGATCCTGAAGACTGAAGAGACAGACACTATCTTAGACAGTTCAGTAGACAGACTACTTTCTACTGACTCTGAGAAGCGGGATATTCTGAGACTGAGTAGACCTAGATCTAGATCTAGATCTAGATTCTAGATAATTAGATCTGGATCTAGATCCAACCGACTAGATTAATTAACGTCTATTCTCTAGATCTAGATCTAATATCTAGATTCTAGATAGATCCAGCCTAATTTCTGATCATCGAGACTCTAGTCTAGTCTAATCTAGATCTAGATCTAGTTCTCTAGATCTCTAGAGATCTAGAGATCTAGAATCTAGATCTAGATCTAGATATCTAGTATTAACTACAAACAGACATTAGAATTTAAAGTTAAAGAGCAAAAATCTACCTGAACCATGGTACTTGCATGCACACAGCAAATTACCTTGCGAGAAACGACAAGGACGAAATGCATCAAACAATATTACGGGGATAGGCCTGCATGTAGTGAGCTCTCTCTTTGCGAACAGCTGATCGGAGCAGTGCTCTGGTCATTTTTTGGACTTCAATTAAAACCTCGAGATGTGGTGCTATGTAAGTAGGAAGTGTTCTATAGCAGTTGAAAAGCAAAGTTATTCGTACTCCACAAATGTCGCAGAATTCAGGAACCAAGAGCTGAAGTATCTCTGCAAGGAAATTCGCAATTACATGTCAGTTATAATAATAATAATGTTAATAATATAATGATAATACATGTAATAACTAAACATTAATTTCAGTTTGTAAGAAATTTATCATTTTGATCGGGTGCAGGTTAAGCCTACTCTTATCGATTTTGGACCACCAAGGGATTTTTAATGTGAGCATTTAGCACACGGGACCTCAGAGATTTTTCCCTTTTATCGGAGAAGGTTAAGGTGTAATTTTTTCTTCCAGAAGATTAGGGGTGTGGCGGAAAGACAGCTATGAGAAGGAACCAAGGAGTAGCAGTAGAAAGGCTGCAGAAAGAGACAGAAGCCCAGAAGAGGGGGCAAAGGAGGTGAGGGGGTGGGGGCAGAGAGTTGTGACGAAGGCAGACAACAGAATATTGTTAGAGAGCAGGAAAAGAGCACGGGACCAATTGAACGACAGACAAACACCTTGGCCTCAAGGCCACGAGAGCTCCCTGTCGTAGAGTTTGTTAAAAATTTAAACTCCAATAAAGCAGAACTATGTGTCATCCTTGTCTTCTAGATTACTCTCTGACACACACACACACACACACACACACACACACACACACACACACACACACACACACACACACACACACACACACACAGACAGAGACAGAGAGAGAGAGAGAGAGAGAGAGAGAGAGAGAGAGAGAGAGAGAGAGAGAGAGAGAAAGAAAGAGACAGACAGACAGACAGACAGACAGACAGACAGACAGACAGACAGACAGACAGACAGACAGACAGACAGACAGACAGACAGACAGACAGACAGACAGAGACACACACAGAGAGAGAGAGAGAGAGAGAGAGAGAGAGAGAGAGAGAGAGAGAGAGGGAGAGGGAGAGGGAGAGAGAGAGAGAGAGAGAGAGAGAGAGAGAGAGAGAGAGAGAACGAGAGCGAGAGAGAGAGATTTATTGTGTAGGCCTATTATCCTTGCCTTCTTTTCTTTGTCATTCACCTTAAATTCTTGCCTCTCACGACCGAATCAGCCGCTTATTTACAGCTGTTGAAAAGATTTATACGAGCCTCGAAAGACGTTCAACTTGTACCACAAAAACCCCCCCAAAACAAACTACACAGCAACTTGAAATATTGTTTGTCATTCTCGATTGCAATTGGATCTTATCAGTGACGTGTGTGAAGTGACAATTGAATATCTTGTCTTTATCAGTAGCGTTTGGGCAGTGACAATATCTTGTCTTGCGAGTTCGGATGCGTGCATGGGCGGTTGGCGGATGCCCTCGCTCTTAAAAATGTGCTTATTTACTCCTTTCCTTTCCTATAAACCACCCATCGTCCTCACTTCTCCCCTTTCTTTTTTCGAGTTTGCTTGTTTGTTTGTTTTAGTACGGTTTTACGGCGCTCGCAACTGCATAAGGTCATATGAGCGCCAAGGAGTGGATGTCAACAGAGAAGTCCAAACAGGGAATCAGGCTTACTCTGCTCACCTCTCTGCCTTCAACAGCATAAAGTCTCCTTCGACTATCAAGGCACCCCGCAAATAGCAGTTCACAAGAGAGTGACAAACGTACAAAAAGTAGAGGACAAATAACGAAAGTAAGGATGAGGGGGAAAAAAAACAGCAGTTCCCCCTATGTTGTTCCGGCACAGAATGAGCATGCCATTAGTACATCAGCCCATTTACAATTCTATTATGCATAACAACATGTTAATGCTGCCCGCCCCCCCCCCCCCCCCCCCACCTTTCGGGAATGGCCTAAAGACAACTTCAGTTAGTGGTACTATCCAGGGGAGGGGGGTGGCTTCATGTTTGTAAATTATTACTGTCTTCTAACACCTCTCTAATCTTCGACACTTTTATTTATGACCTAATTACCCTAGGTAAGTGCCGTAAAACTCTTTACTAAAAAAAAAAAAGTGCGGATGCCAACCCATGTGCAGAGAAAGGAACGCCTGCCTGCTTGTTTGGGGGGTTCTTTTTGGGCAAGTGTTTTACGCGCTAACAACTGCATAAGGTCACATGAGCGCGCGGAACACATTACTATTCTAAGTTGGTGGGAAATATTGAATGGCTGCTCTTATTGGCCCACATGGGCCATTTAATGCGTTGTTTTTCAATGTATTTCATACATGGTATTGTCCAAACTTGTTCTCTTTTATTTTTTCTCACTTTATCCCTTCTTGTTAATGTTTTCCTGAGGTATTCCATCTCGCACACATTTCTACAGATTTGATTGTTTGTCAGCGTGTTCCTGCAGTTCAGCGTTATTGTTATGCAGTAGACTTTGATCGTCTGCGAACAGTATTTCTTTTAGAATTTAGGTTCTCCGGATGTGGGCTTGCTTCTTTCGTCAAACAATCGATTACGGTATAATTGAGTTATTTCTTTGTTTACTCTAAGTATACTGGGTTGGATAACAAGATGAAGATGTGTAACTTCTTAGCTATTGTTCATCTTTTTATTTTTAGCATTAGACTGGAAAACTATATATTCTCAATTTAAAATATGTGTGATTGATCGACTAATTTGTTGAGCTATTTTTGAAGATGAGAGAACTTTTCGATCTTTCTCTATCTTAAATAGTTTTTGATTATTAAGATTATTAAGAAATAATAAATACGGCTATTGCTACTTGCATTCTGTATCCTTTATAACACAAATGAGTTTTTGTTATCTTTTGGGATCTTGTTGGTTTGGGGGTCATTCTAGATCTATACTTCCTTAATATTATAGTAGAAATTGACTTACTTTCATTCTAACTGAAAACTTAAAATGTTATGTCACTGGTGTAAAATATAATATTATTAACTTAAGCCTTAGAAAAGGGTATAATTTTAATATAAAATAATTTCTCTGATATTTAATGGGGATTTTGCTGTTGTATTTTCATTTAAAATTATCATTTGTGGATTTTTTGGGGATTTTTTGGGGGGATTTTTTTGGGGGGGCCCCGGCCGAACACAGGGGAGATAACTAGCACATTTGTGGGCAAATAATAGATTTTCTTGGGGAAATTTTATATGCCCCTGTGGGCCAATAAGCACTCCGATATTGAATTTTTCGGGTGACGGTCGAAGCCTACTCTTATCGATTTTGGACCACCAAGGGATCTCTAACGTGCACAGCTTGCAAACAGGACCTCCGTGATTTTTCGCCCTTGTCCGAGGAGACTAGGTGTAGATCTTTCCTACCAGAAGCTAAGGGGTGTGGCTGAAAGACAGCAGTAAGAAGAAGCCAATGAGTAGGAGTAGAAAGGCTGCAGAAAGAGTCAGGAGCCAAGAGTACAGGACGAGTGCAAAAGGGTATGGAGGTGGGGGCAAAAAGTGGAGACGAAAGCAGACGACAGAACATTGCGAGAGAGCAACAGAAAAGAAAGTGAAAAGAGACAACAATTTTAGAGAAGAAAAATCTCCGTCGCTATCCGGATTGGGCAGAAAGTGGAGACGAAAGCAGACGACAGAACATTGCTACAGAGAAACATGAAAGAAGGTGGAAGGAGACACCAATTTTAGAGAAGAAAATTAATGTCCGTCCCTGTTCGAATTCGAACTCTATACCTATTGAATGAGAGGCGAACACCTTACCCTCTAGGCCAAGAGAG